AACATGGTCCATCAACTCGCTCAATAGTACATGATTTCTTTTTATAAGAAATAAATTACGATGCAAAACTTACTTGTAAAATCAATTGAAATTGTTTTAACTTGTATATTGGAATATTTGTTTAGAATTTCTTTTGCAACTTCTTCTAATCTTTCTTTTGTTCGACTAATTAAAACAATATTCAAACCTAGATAAATGAATTATTATTTAAAATAATTTTTTATCATTTTTAAGATTTCTACCTCGTTTAGCTAATTGATGTGCATATGCTTTTCCAATACCATCAGTACTACCCGTAACCAATGCCCATTGGCCAAATGTCTTAACATCAATTAGTTTTGGACATAAAAGTTGATAGATAAATATACCAAGTCGTGCAAGAATACAAATAATTGCAAGTATACCAGCAGTTTCTAAAATGCCCATCGTCTTGCTTATCTATATTAAAAGTGAATATGTAAAAAAAAAAAGGAGAATAAGTTAAACCAATGAAGAAACGCGCTTCCATAAAATATTCTATGGATGAAAAGAAAGAAAGAAATATGTTGTTATTTTTTATTTGCTTATATAGATTTATTTATTAAAACGCGTGTGTCAAACGTCTAATAAATAATGGCTGATTATCTTGCATCAATATTTGGTACAGAAAAAGATAAAGTTAATTGTTCATTTTTCTTTAAAATTGGTGCATGTCGACATGGTGAACATTGTTCAAAACTACACAATAAACCAACATTTAGTCAAACATTATTATTAAAAAATCTTTATCTAAGTTTAGAAAATAGTTCACAAAAAGCAGATAAATCATTTATTGCTGATGATATTACAGAAGAACGTATACAAGAACATTTTGATGATACATTTGAAGAATTATTTGTTGAATTAGATAAAAAATATGGAGAAATTGAAGAAATGAATATTTGTGATAATTTATCTGAACATTTAGCTGGTTTGTAGAAGAAATTTTTCGTTTTTATTTATACATAGATTTCTCTTTTGTTCTATAGGAAATTGTTATGTCAAATTTCGTTTTGAAGAAGATGCAGAAAAAGCCGTAGCTGATCTTAATAATCGATGGTTTGATGGACGTGCTATCTATGCTGAATTAAGTCCTGTTACAGATTTTCATGAAGCTTGTTGTCGACAATATCAAATGGGGTAAGGAAAGAATTCTTAAAATTACAAAACTAGATTATATTTGACATTAAGCTTTCTTTGGTATAGTCATTATTTTTATCTATATGCAGATAGACGTGTCATTTATTGCATATCGAATACTATTTAATCTATATCAATTATATATTATCGTTATTCAATATCGATATCTTAGAAAATTTTGAAATTATTAACTCTCTTCGTAGTAAAATAATACAACATATTATCTGTTCATTGATTTTAATATTAATTATACTCTTATTTCATATTAGAAAGAAAGATTAGATTAATCCATTAATAGTATGTTTTTACATTTGAAATTATCATGCAACTATTCTTAAGCAGTTTGCATGTTTTTATAGATAATAATATTCATATTTGATAAGAGATAGATCTGATTGATATGAAAGTTAGAGACTCAATATATATTTACAATAACATGACTATGAATAATTATTGATAATCACTATAAATGAAAATATTCGTATTTGTTTTTCTCTTTTAGAGATTGTCCTCGTGGTGGATTTTGTAATTTTATGCATTTAAAACCCGTAAGTGAATTTAATTGATTTTTTTTGAGTAATAATTCTATATAATTAAATTAAATAGATTTCAAAAGATTTACGAAAACGTTTGTATCAACGACGTCAAAAGAAACCTCGTGGTTCAAGATCTCCACCAGGTGGTGGTGGTGGTGGTGGTGGTGGTGGACGATCTCGTTCTCGATCACGTGATCAAGATCGTCGACGATAGGATTTCACATTATATACAAACAATTGTTTTTGGATTTGTATAAAGAAATAAAACAAACAAGATGTTTCTCGTATTCATGTTTTTTTTCTCTGTTTATTATTGATTGTCTTCGTTGTATTGAAAATAAAAATTGAAAACGAATGCTTTATCATCGATAGATTGAATGTACTTAGGTCGTTCACTATTGGATTTCGAATTTCTTCTTATACTTTTAACTACAATTTATGAATTTCAATTAGTAATCGAATGCGATAAAGATATACTGCATTATAATAGATTTTCTTATTCAGATGATCTTGATAATAAATACGCGATATCTCTTCGAGATGCAGATGGCTATTTGTAGAAAAACTAACAAATTAAGTTATGTTTGATAATCAATTAACATAAATTTGCTAGACACATCAACATATATGTCACATTGATATTTATAGACAAAACGATTTTCCTCTTGTTGTTTCAGGAACAAAAAAATCCTTGTTAGAAAATTAAGATGTTAACTAAAAACTAATCAATAATAGTCGAGTCTATCAGTTTGAAAATGCAAAGAATTTAGAGACAAAAAAAAAAGGTTTTTATGCACGTGTAGTTATGCACTGATAGCGAAGTCCTTGATTATCATGGATAAGATAAACATCAGTATAGCTTAACAATCCTTGGTATCGTATTTAAACTATATTTATAATAGAAATAAACCATTTGCAACATTCTATATCAATTAAAACGAAATAAATATTCGATATATATTCATCTTGTCGAAGTTCCTACTAAAAATTAATTATATAATGTCAAAATTATTTATTCATTTTTTTGTTGTTGTTCTGAGAGTTTAGATTTATGTCAGAATGATTAACTAGTATTTATTTTTTCTTTTAACATAGAAACAAATTATTTAATGGTGTATTGAATAAATAAGAATTATTTATTTTTCAAATTATTTTTCTTCTGTCAATAATATTTATAATGAAAAGAAAAAGAAAAACGTTTTTCTCTTTCTTTCTTTTATTACTCAATATAAATAAATAAAATTACTTTAAAATATGAATAAAAAAAAAAGAGATGAATAAAGTAATTATTTATTATTTAGAAAAATTCAAGCTTGAAAGAACGTCTCTACGCATAGAATAATAATGTAAATAAATAATTAATGACTCATGTTATAGTTACATATAAAGATGAAAAAAAAACTGGCATTTGTTAATAAATTAGAAGTGATTGAATAAAGAAGAAAAAAAACATCAATTCCCTTATTTGCATTCTTAGCTATCGTTTATTTCGTTGAATAATAATCAATAATATATTTATAAAATATTTGCTTTCCTATGTATGTCTAGACATGAAGAAAAAAAAATCATGTTATATTTGAAGTATATTGATAGCATCGATCTAATGAAATATCATCTAATCATAATCATATTTTTATCGACAGATCTTTAGCATAAAAATCGGAATTTGATTTATTGAAAAAAAGAAGAAGAAGAAGAAGAGAGATAATCGTTTTCACCTATGAACTTTATTGTTTATTATTGATTCTTTAGAAACATAAGTTCATATTGTACTCATTCTTTCTCATTTTCTTTTTCTCCCTATTTATCGACTATGTGCAATGATGCCAGTAGTGATGGTAGTGTCAGTCAATGTCTATATAAATCATTGTGTATGTGTATAGTAAAATGTCACTCTCTTTCTTTTTTCTTTCTTTTTCTTTCCTTCTCAACGTTGTTTCATACAAGGCGGAAAGGAGATCATTTCACCAACAGAAAGAACAAATCGACACGAACGCGCACAATTGATAATCATCATCATCGGATGTCATTTCTGTCGAGCAAGTAAGTGAGAGTCAAATCCAAGCTAATAATCAAAGAGCAATTGAGCCAATTAGTAGTCAATACGTGTCTATGTATATACATATATATTTATGTCTATGTTCAGCTTTCTCTATCATTATATGATGTTATCAATAAACTTTACTTTGTTCGCCTTCTTTTTATTTTTTTTTATTTTATTTTATTCATATTGATTTGTTCATATGTACTCAGGAAGAAAGAAAGTAAAAGAATATTGTTTCTCTATGCATCATTATCTCACACATATATACATACATATCATTGTCAAGTAACGAGCAGAAGAGAAAAAAAAACGATAGAAAGAAAATAGTTGTCTACATGTATATATTACACGGACAAGAGTAGAAGCAAATATCTCCATAAACACATTCTTCATATCTTCGTTTAAAACAATATATATATATATATATTGAATGACATGCTACTACCACAATATATTATTAGTTTTTCAAATTGACTAATTGTCACCGTCGACAGTCTAGCTAGGTAAGTTATCTTATGACGATTTTCTATATCGTTCTTTTTCTTAAATATTATTCTATCTGTTTATTTTACCTTGAATTTTTATTTCTTTACCTCTTTATAATTTGTATTAAGAATAATAATATGTCAATCCGATTCATTCGAACATAATTTATGTATGAATAAAAAAAAACAAAAAATAATAATCATAATAATAATAATAGTGATAATACTTTCTTTTCTGTTCTTATTCTTCGATTAAAAACTTTAAATCATCATCTATTTATATACATAAAAGAGCGTGTAAGGGTGTATGTTGATTATTTGTTGCTCTTCTCGCTAGTATATATGCACCACACGCACGTTTGCGTCGAGTAGTTTGTCGTCGTAGTAGCTTTTCTTCTCTCGTCTTTCTCAACAGGGGTTTCTGCTTGCTTTCTCCAGCTGCCGGAGGGAACAAATAGAAGAACAATATCACATCATTGTCGACGACAACGATGTTGTGTATAGCGTCGTGTGTCATTTTCCCTTTTCTTTCTTATTCTTTTATATATGATTGATTTTTTTTTGCCTCACTCGTTTGCATATACATTTATATTTACATACGATACAATATTACAGGTGAGTAAAGAAGCGTAGTGTCATCATTGCAATTATTATTATTGCAATTAGTTCTTGCAGTGTTATCGCATAGTTAACTGTTATTGAAATTTAATTTTCTTCAATAAAAATATAAAAGAATAAGAAAAATGAGAGTGCTACTACTGCCGAGTGGTATTGATCGGCATGTGTGGAGAGATTTCCTTTCTTCTCTCTCTCTCTGTCTGTCTCTCTCTCTCTCGACATATTGACATCTAGTACTCATTGGTAATAGTAGTGTAAAGAATTTCTTTCTTCTTTTTCCTTTACCCACCCTTCGTTCTTCGTCTTATTCATTTACGTACTCTCTTCTTTGCTTCTCTTCTTTCACTACACACATATATATATATATATATATATGTTTGCGTTCGTATTGAGGCCAAGCACATAGCCACTGTCAAATTATTGTTAGAGTGTATATAATTCATCGACGAAGAGCGATGAGAGTCCGAAGAAGGAGAGAAAGAGAGATAGCGTGTGAAAATGAGCGACGAATAACGGAGGACTCGACGAAATGCAGATGATAATCAGTCTAGTGTAATCATTGATCGACGGGCGGGCGATGCCAGC